CGATTATGCACAGCAGCACGCTCTGCTGTAAACGACACACAGCACGATTTCAGCGTGCATATGCAATGTGCAAGTGAAACCTCTGGAGGACATCCCAGGGTTTCCAAACTAGAAAGACACTGCGAGACAGCAGCTACGACACGTCCCTGCCAACAGAAACACACGGCTACGGAGGCCGTTTCTACCAGAATTAGCACTGCCACCACAAGCACACAAAAAAAAAAAAAAAACAAAACAAAACAATCGAAAAGTTCCAGAAGCCCTGATAATCCTGTTAACGTCACCTGCGACAGGAGAGACTCTAGAAGTCAGAGGATGGTTTAGCCCTTGTTTTGGCCCAGGCACCGGGCGGGCTCCCTTGCGGGCCGGCCAGCGGTTCGCTCTGCGGCGGACGGAGGGGTCGAGGCTCGCTTTCCCGACGCGAGGGCACAGCCCGGCCCGGCCGCCCCCACCGGCGCCCCCGGCTCCCGTCGCGCTCCGCCCGCAGCCCCTGCGATTAAAGCCAGGCCCGAGCTCGGCGGTGACAGAGGCCACCACGGCAAGTCACCTCCCGCCCAGGCACCTGCGGGGCCGGGACCGGGCCCGGCCCGGGGCCCTCCGCCCGCCCGCCTGCGCCCGCTCACCTTGCCCTGGCGGCGGCGGGACCGGCTCCGGCCCCGCGTCCCTGCCGCCCGCCGCTTCCGCCGCGCCGGCAGGGGGGCGCGCCGGCAGGGGGCGCGCGTTCCCCGAGACCGGGAGGGGCGGGGCAGCGGGGACGGGAGCCCCTAACCACAGAATTCCAGAGGGGATCGGGCTGGGAAAGATTCCGAGGTCATCGAGACCAATCTATGACCGAACACCACCTTGACAGCTGGCCCGCAGCACTGAGTGCCACATCCAGCCTTTCCTTAAACACCTCCAGTACTCCACCACCCCTGGGCAGCCCAATGCAATGTCTAATCTGTGAAGGAATCCCAGCTAAACCTCCTCTGGTGCAGCTCCAGACTGCATCCTCTCATGCTGTCACTGGTTGCCTTGGCAAAGGGGCCAAACCCCAAAGGGGCAACCTCCTTTCAGGGAGTTGTGGAGGTTGATAAAGTCACCTCTGAGTCTCCGTTTCTCCAGATTAACCCACCCACAACACCAGGCACCCGCTGTTCACCCTCCTGCCTTGAGCACCACCTAGCTCCCTTCCCAGTACCTGCCAGGTGTGTGCAGTCCTCCTTCTCCAGCCCCGCTGGAGGTGCCACAGCAGCAGCAGCATCCGTGCCTGGTGCCCACTCGTTCCCACTGCAGTTCCTCAGCGTTCCAGACACGTTGTGGTTCCGAAACGGCATTCACGGTGCTGTTAAATCATTCCTGGCTGCCCGACAGCTGTGGATGTAATCCCTGGATATCGGTATAAAAATTTAAAAAAATAATGGATTTACAAATAAAAATCAGTCAAAGAAGTAAATAGTGTTCCAGTGACACTGGGTGCAGCTCCAAACGCATAGGTATTGATGCAGATACCCTACCTGCTAGGATGGCATGGAGCACTGTGCCCTCAGCCTTCGGTGGGATGAACTTGGCCATCTCTTCCACATCTCCTCCTGCTGTGCTTTTCTGACCAGCTCTCCTCTACAGGTACATCATCTGCCCGTTGGACGTCCGCAGCTGCTCAGCTGAGCAGTTGCACTCAGTTTACCATGTAACTGTTTCCATTGTCCTCCAATTAATAAATGTGCAGTTGTGCATTTACACTCTTTACTGTGTAACTGCTTCCACTGTCATCCAATTAATGAAGCGGTCACAGCCCCAAGCCTGGCAGAGCTCAAGAGGAATTCCGACAGGAACATGGTGTGACTCTTGGGGCTGTCCTGTGCAAGGCCAGGAGCTGGAGCTTGATGATCCTTCTGGGTCCCTTCCAACTCTGGATATTCTATAATTCTATGATTTTATTAATTTACTGTGTTATCAGTTTCATATTCTTCCCCATTGCAAAATAGTTTGAGCTGGTTAAAAAAACACAAAACACACAAAAACCTACCAAACCAAAATTTTCCTATATTATTTACTTGGCAAAATATACCCAACAAAAGTCATAAATGCTGTTTTCATTTTGAGGCAGACACAGGTCATTTGCTGGTTTTCATTTTTTTTTTGTTTGTATGATGGAGAGGCTAAAAAATAAGTGTACCAAGGGAGTGATTTGATCTGCAAGTACATTTCTATTTGTATGACAAGAACTCTAATTTCTATAACACCAGTTTTTAGTTCTAGTTTCTATAATACTGCTCTAAAAGACTAAAAATTTAAAGCGAGCCACTAAAATAATATAATAACTGGTTATTATTAGAGCAGTACTATAACATTTCTGGAAAAAATATTTACAATTTTTTATTAGAAAAATATTATATATCATTCAAAATCCCTCTTTTTTCTCGGTAATAATTTTGTCTATCTTCTTGAGACCCCAGAAAATACTCTTAGACAACTGTGACAGAAGACAACAAATAGAAATTATTTTTTACTCAGAGAAGCTGCTGATAACACAGTGGAGCTGCTAAAAGATGTAATAGCCTGGGAAAAACTTAAACCTTGTTAGAAATTATTAACAGCTGCTGAAATAGAGGAGATAGACAGAAATATCTGCTTTTAAAAATAATCAGCACTCTGATTAGATATCTCCTGCCCAAGGTTAGTGATCCATTGTGAGTGGGAGCACAGCTCCTAGCATCACGGATCAGAGAGCATGGCATTTGAAAGGTTGTGCAAATTCTGATTACTGAAGTGGTTAATTGGTCACAGAATCAGAATTATTAAGTTGGAAAGGAAGTTTAAGACCATTGAGTCCAATCAATAACCTAACTCTGCCAAGCCCACCATTAAACCATATCCACAAGTGCCACATCTACACATCTTCTAAATACCTCCTGGGATGGTGACTTCACCACTGCCCTGGGCAGCCTCTTCCAATGCTTGACAACCCTCTCAGTGAAAAAATTTTTACTGATAACCAATATGAACTTCTCCCAGAACAACTTCCTTTTCTCTAGTTCTGTCCCTTATTACCGGGGAGTAGAGACTGATTCCCACCTGGCTGCAACCACGCTTTCAGGTAGTTGTAGGTGTTGGTCCCCACACAGTCCTTTTCTCCAGGCTAAACAGCCCCACCTCCCTCTGATTTTCCTCATAAGACCTCTGCTCCAGACCCTTTACTAGCTTTGTTGCCCTTCTTTGGACACATTCCATGATGGAGTTGATGTACTTGAAAAATAGGATAGTCAAACAATGATTCTGTCTAGTCCTTCTACAGCGTCTGCAATACAAATAAAGCCTTCAGATTCTGGTTACTTATAATTCCTCTTGCTTCTTTATCTGTGTCCATTTTAGTATTCAATAACCTTTTCCTTTAGTTCCATTTCTCCCTTGAAAGCTCAGGCTTTGAATTTTAGCTTGCCTCACTGCAGTGCGGCATGTAAGACTTCACAGTTTGAATTCCTGCTTATGTCCAGGCATATCAGTCTGCATCTTGATCTGCTTTAGTTCATCATCTCCCATGCATGCTGAGTTTCTGCTGGGAAAAAAAAATCTTTCTGCCTGTAGTTAAGGTGTTCAAGTAAAGACTCCTGTATCTTAAGACAGATTTGAGGGTTGACAGCATTTGACAGGATTCCTATCTTTTTGGTCCAGGGACATAACTCACCTGTCCGTCCTTCTCCCTTCACCAGATGTGCAAGAAATACTTGTGAAGAGGCAGGGTCAAGGAAGAATTTATTTTAATCCAAAGAGCAGATTTAGTTTTCTACTGAAAAATGGGCAAACATTACATATATTTCCTTAGATGCTACGTAACCTTTCAGGATGTTGAGAGGAAAGATTATTTAAATATTAAAAGCACATGAAGGAAAATCAGGCACAAAAATTACCTATCTTGGTCTTTGAAGTTAAGACTTGGTTGCATTTAGTGGCATATTGGATAGATTACACAAAGTTGTCCCACTCCCACCAGTCACAACATCCCACAGCCTGTATAAACACATTCTGCTTTGTACTAACTCTCAGTTTTCCACAAGTTGCATTAGGAAGACAAGACTGCTTTTCCAGACAGGCATTTTGGTTCAATGTGTACTGGCAGTGTTGCAGTACTGCATCTTTAGGCAAACCACCAGTGATGATAAGCCTCAAAGATGCATTGCCTGAGAAAGCTCCCCCAAGCTGGTCACTGGGAGATTTGAGTAAATACAGCACAACCATACTGCACACTCCATATCCAGGGCCTTTCAGGCTGGGGCAGCCTCATCCACTAAGCAACTATTGTGTGGTGCAATAGAGCATGCACAAACCAGCTCAGACTTGAAACTAACTTCTACACGTATTTGCAGTATTTGCTACACTGAACTAAAGCTTTTTTACCCCTCTCTTTGAGAAACATTCTTCTGTGGGGAAAAAGTCTTGGAGGCACACAGTCCTGCTTTCCAGGGTACGCACTAGTAAGCTGATGTGTTTGAAGAAGTCTAACTGTTTTTACGGGATTGTTTCTTTTTATAGTCTCTAGGAGAATGGCGTGAGCAGTAGCTGATTATCCAAAGCAAGACAGTTTGTTCTGACATGTCTTGCTAGGGGCCCATCAGGGAAGGTGCCCCCCGTGGGGTGGTCTCTGGTGGGACAACACCAACCCTGAGGCTCTGCTCTGAGACCAGACTGTGCTCAAAACACAAAGACACAGATCTAGACAACACCACTAAAGCCCTCAGATGTAAGTACAAACTTGTTTTAGGAACCAGAAACATTTTGGCTGCATGATTTCCTTTGGGGGAATTTAGCTGTTGCATTGCTATTATACATAAGTCATCTTTATAAATCTTTCTTAGTTCAGGATATTCTCAAAGACATGGAAGAACTTTCTAGAGGTTAATTGTTTTCTTCCACCAAATCTGTTCAAATTTGTAATTTAAACACCAACTATTAGTTACCAGTGCTGTAGGACATTGTTTTTTACTGTATGCTGTAAAACCAATGCAATAAACATGAGCGTGCTAATCACTTTTACGATGTTTATCAAATCTCTCCAGTAAAGCCTTCCATATGTTGCCTGGGATTGTTTGGTGCTTGGTTATGAGAGCCTGGACAGCAGTCTTTGTCTGAAAAGAGAAGAGAAATTTGCCTTTAAAGACCTGTTTTATACATGGAAGAAAAGTATAATCACTAACTTCTCAGAGGTTCAAGAGGCTCTACTGTAAGAAAATAATTGTTTTATATTAACTAGCTGTCCTAATGACACATTTCTTGGAAAAGAAGGGAACAAAAACCATGACTGCATTTTTGGTAGGCTGAAATTATTGAGATTTATCAAATGTAGTCATTATTTAGTCAAAGTAGCTTTTAACATACTCAAACATCAAGTTTCTGCAATCTCCCATCCCTGAAAATTTTCATCAAAAAAGGGTGGATAAAACCTGACTCACCTCATCTGATCTTACAGCTGACCTATCTTGGACTAGGAATTTGGAGTAGGAATCTTTGTCTGTCCTTCCTAACATGAATTCTCCCATAATTTTGTCATACAAAGCATGCACATAATAAGAAAATTCATTATACTCTTCACACGAGGTTCAAATGAAAGTTTAGGAACAAAATGAATACAATATTCTATATTTCTAAAAGAAATAAGAAATTATCTTCTTTTGTTTTCTCTCATGTGTTCAAACTTGAAATAAGGGTAGCTACGTACTCCACTGATCTACCGCAGATTTATAGTAGAATATCACTATGAATATAAAAAATGAGTAGCCAAACCTTTCCTGACAGATTCATGTCCTAACTCCTTTGTAGGGCAGGATCAGAGAGAGGTCAGCTAGGCCACTGCTCACCTCAAACTTCATTTATATTACATTTTTTTAAAGTAATATCAGCCACAGAAGACCTAACTGTACTCCCACCAAGGTGGGTGGTGGTCAGAGGGGGCAGCCAAAGGCTTGCCTTAGGAAGATAAATCAATATCATGGGAAATTTCATTTTCATCTTTGCAGGTACACAAAATACTGTTCCACTAAAATACAAGGATATTAATAACCATAAGGGCAGTCATATTGCTTCCAGCCTCCTAAAGGTGCTAAGAGCAAACTCTCCAGCTTGCTGGGGCTGTTCCCTTGTGACAGACCAAACCTGTCTTTCTGGTTTCACTTTTGTGAAGCTCAGCACAACCTGCAGTAGACCCTTAAAAAAGGAAAAAAGAAAACAAAAGAAGAAAAACTAGCCTTGTTGCATCTTTTTGGGTGCAGTGAGATGTTTTTTAATAAGTGATTTCTGACAGTTGATTTTTTCATATATTTCTAGCTTGTAGCAGATTTTTTTTTCTTCATAAAATCCTCCTTTATCTTCCATGAAAAATTTTAAAGCTGTATTTTCAGTTTAGCTTTATATTTTGAAAAATGCTTCAACTCTAGATCTATAAACACTCTTATGCTCTTGGGCATCACTAATTTCACCAAACTGTAGGTACTCAAAATATTTTTATATTTTGGATGCAACTTTTTAACATTTTCATTTTGACAATGAGACTGAAGCTCTTGAAGAACTTTGCTTCTAGAGCCCTATGCTATTTGGTGAAGATTCTCAAAGTTATTTGTTATTTATTAAATTTATTTTCATAGTTACTGAAAACTGCATTTAAAACATAATTTGTGTCATTTCAATTATCATAATTATTATCAAAGTTATCAAAGGCATGGGAGAAACAAAGTTAACATAACAAGAAGACAGAGCTCATACATTTGGAAAGGATGAGGGCATCCCAATCAACTGTGACTATGCCATTATTTATTGGTAGGTATTTGTACATTAAATGATTCCAAACCTCAACTGCCCATAGGTGAACAAGCTAGTAAAAGTGTATTTGTCTTTATTCAAGCATGCAAAAAACTGGTTTGCAAGTGCACCTATAGTAGAAAGCAAAGTATGTAGTTCAATATTGCAAGGAGAGAGAACTTACCTTTTCAGCTAATTCCTCTGCAGTTATATTAGGATCGTAAGGGATTGGCTTCCCAATGTATGTGCGAAATTTAACTGGAAGTCCTCCGTATGGAGGGGTAAAAGGCAATCGAGTGCTTTCATATAACTGTCTAAAAAATCCTGAAATGGTTTATGGGAGGAAAAAATGAGATTATAGTCACTGTAAACACAATCCAAACATGAAATATGATTAATGTAGAATACTTTGTAAAAATTCATGCTTTATTTGACAGTCAGGAAGTTGTTACAGGATTGAAGCAATTGTTCACCAAAACAAAGCTTGATAGACTTAATAGGCCATAGAAATAAGACAAATAGACCAGAGAAATAAGACAAATCACATACACAAACCAGTTATGCACAAGCTATTTCCAAATTTGAGCTATCTCCGACCCACAGCAAGTGTTAGAGAATCCAAAGTAAGCAAAAGTCCAAAAAGCAAAATCTAAGATAAAACCAAGAGAAATCTGAGAGAAAAGAGATAAAACATTCAAAATATATAAAATATATTTTTAAGTTCTTACTTCTTTCTTTGAACATCCTATAGCCTTCACGGACATTTTGAGTATACATTGGAATGATGGGCTAAGGAAGTCGAAAAAATAAAAAGGTGGAAATGTTATACCAGGTTTGAATTTTTGCTTTAGTGCTTGTTAATGCAGCTAAGAAAATCACTCAAATACAGAGGGTAATTACCAGTTAGTTAAGTAGTAAACAAAGAATCTTTATTTTAAAAACTCCAGAATAGAAATAAAATGCTATTTTTCAGCTGCCATAAACACCTGTTTTAAAGTCACTATCTGTAAATAAAATGACTGACACTGTACTAGGTTTTATATAACTTTTATATTATGTGTTTACTGCAATATCACTGACTGGAACATAAAACAAATTTCCATTGTTTCTCTGTCTAAAGCTTTCATTGTGAGTGGTGAATAGAGAAGTATTCAGTTTGTGAAGTCTTGCAGAAAGCAAGCAGACATTCACGGTTGGCTCATCTCATCTGCTTTTCAAATAGGGTCTAACTGAAGCAGTAATGTTTGGATAAAACTTCACTGGAAAAGACTTCTGCAGATCCCTGAGACAAAAAAAGGCAATTGTGTGTCCTCATTGACCTGGACTACACACCTTCTGAGGGTGGATCCTTAGGCACTTACAGGACAAGTTCACTTCATCTTTGTGACTGAAAAGACACGCTTGAGATACCTGCACTTGAAACAGCCATGCCTTACAGCCTGAGGTAAGATTTCATAGTTTGTAGACAGACTGACAGTAGTTGTACCCATATATGCAAAGACTTTTTTCTCCTCTATTGTCCCTTTTTCTTTTTCTGAAACTCTACTTTGAACAGATTGTGGAACAACTTGTCCAGAAGGTAATGAAAGAAGACTTCTGTACTATTAAGAATCACTACCGCAGAACAGAAGCTGCAGGATGAGGAAAAAACAAGCAGGAAAAAGACCTAACTAGAGCCTACCAAATAACTCATAGTGATAGAAAGAATTAAAAGGAAAAAAATACCTGAGGGAGAACAAAAGTATTAAACATGCATAAAGCTGTAATAGTAAACTTTTCAGAATGCAAAATTAAGGGAAATTGTTAGAAATAAACCCTTAAGAATAATCAGTAATGTCTTTTAAAAATATATAAGTCCTGGACACTAAAAATACCAAACTTTGTTTCAGCTATTAATTGAATACTGTACATCTAAGATGTAAAATGTTTGAAACCTATCTGTCACACAGACAAAACACTTTAAATTTTAGGAGTAGTACAAAAGAAACATATGGAAGGCTATAAAGAAATCTGGCAACTACAGAAGTTACTCTCATACAATGACCAGCAATTGATGTGCAGGGTAGGCAGCAACATTCAGTCCCTAAGCTGGAAAACACAGGTATGCACATAAAATCTTACATTTGTAAAGCAGCACAACCAGATCTTCACACACATTCATACTTGCTGTGTTGGAACTGAGCTGGATCATCCCCAGCCAGCTTGAAAATCACAGAATTACAGGATACTTGAGGTTGGAATAGACCTCTGGAGATCATGTAGTCCAAACCCCTTGCCCATACCAGAAAATTTTATAAATCATAGTTCCTGTTTATATTTTACCTGGCTCAGCTTGAAGGAATTTTTTGGCACAGGTAAAATTGAGGGATCTTCAGAAATTATGATCTCTCCCTATTAGCCTATAAAAACCAAACCATAGACAGAGAGTATTTCTAGAAGTCATGGATGAATTTGACTGAGACAAATATATGTCCGAGAGGTACACTGAGTCATAACATTAAATAGTAACACTCTGACTCCTGTTAAGCAGAGTAGTTACACAAAATGAAGTGGAAACCAAATGCAGAAACTTTACAGGTAAGGACTGAGGCTGAAACTACCTTCCTTGTTTGCTTTTCTTCAACTTTTTCAGTGGAAAAACTATTGAACTTCTGTAATATTATATGATGGATGGGAATGTCTATTCTTATATAAAGTAGGTTTTGTCTTTGAAATCCCCATTCAAGTAATCTGTGACAGGTTATTAACCACCATGTAGTCATTTTGATAAAGTGTGTGTAGTACTTTGATTGAGGTCTACACTGTATACAGAAAAAACTTTTAAAATCCCTTATAATTCTATCTTGCTTTCATTTATGATATCTGAGTAACTATCAGCAAATTTATATTAATTGCTACATAATAGAACAAGTTCTGATACCTGGATGAGTCTATCCCCAGTGTATTTGGGTTTTTTGGCCAGATTTTGGTAGAGGGGGAGCTACAGTGGTGGCTTCTGTGAGAAGCTGCCAGAAGCTTTCCCCATGTCTGGCAGAGCCAATGCCAGCTGGCTCCAGGATGGAAGAGCTGCATGCCAAGGCCAAGCCCATCAGGAATGATCACAACACCTCTATGATAACATGTATAAGAAGGAAAAAACTGTTGTACATATGTAATTGTGGACAGAGAAGAACAGGGTGAGAAAATGTGAGAGGAACAGCCCTGCAGACACCAAGGTCAGTGCAGAAGGAGAGGGAGGAGGTGCTCCAGAGCAGAGATTCCCCTGCAGCCCATGGAAGACCACAGCAATGCAGAGATCCACCTGCAGCCCATGGAGGAGACCCACACCAGAGCATGGATGTCTGAAAGAGGGCTGTGTAGGTGCAGGAAAGCAGTGCTGGAGCAGGCTCCTGGCAGTGGTCTGCAGACCCATGGAGAGAGAGGCCCATACTGGAGCAGGTTTCCTGGAAGGACTTGTGACCCTACAGGGGACCCTTGCTGGAGCAGGCTGTGCCTGAAGGACTGCACCCTGTGGAAGAGTGACTCACATGTTCATGGAGAACCTGTTGCCCAGGGGATGGACTCAGTTTGAAGTTTGCCTCCTGTGGTATGGACCACGCTAGAACAGGAGAAGGACTCTTCTCTCTGAGCAGTGACAGAAACAACAAACTGACCACGATCCCCATTCCCCATCTGCCTGTGCCACTGCAGGGAAGGAGAAAGAAGGGAGCCAAGGAAGCTCAAGGAAGCTTTCCTCAGCCAAGGAAGAAGGGAGAGGTGGGGAAGAGGTCTTTTTAAGACTTTTACTTTATTTCTCATTGTCTTGCTCTGATTTTGTAGCTAATAATTGCAATTAATATTCCTAAGCTGAGTCTGGTTTGCTCATAATAGTATTCGGTGAGTGATTTCTCCCAGTCTTTGTCTCAGCTCATGAATCTTTTGCTTTATTTTCTCTACGCTGTCCACTTGTGGAGGGCAATGATAGAGAGGCTTTGATGGGTGCCTGGCATCCACTACACCTCAGTCTTTGGTCAACCAGGAAGACTAGTCTGGCCAGCATTGAAAAGGATGCAGCAAGAGCAAATAATCAAACTTGAAATGTGTCAAAAGATGGGATCCAGTGACTTGTTGATGATTCCTCTCCGTGTGTGGAGACACGAGGCTTGACTCCATTTCAGAAGGCTGATTTATTATGTTAGATATTATATTAAAATGCTACATTAAGACTATACTAAAAGAACAGAGAGATCAGAAGGCTCAACAAGAAGAGAACAGAACAGCACAGCAAAAATCCTGTGACTGCTCACAGCCTTGGCACAGGTGGCTGTGATTGGTCATCAATGGAAAACAATCCACATGGACCAATCACAGATGCACCTGTTGCATTCCACAGCAGCAGATAGTAATTGTTTACATTTCTCTCCTGAGGCTCCTCAGCTTCTCAGGAGAGGAAAAATCCCAGCAAGGATTTTCCATAATATCATGGCTACAGTGACTACTGTGGACCTAACTTTATATAAGTGATATATAAGGTTAATATTGCCCCCTTTACTGTTAAATGCACATCAGTTCCCTTTTTGTTTTTTTTTTTTTAAGGTGTTTAATTATATCAGGTTTGTCCGATTCCATATTTCCAGAGAAAAATGAATGATGCTTCAGTGAAGCTTGCGTGCTAATTACAGCAATGTCCACCATGCAGAGATCTAATCAGACTTCCTGATCATAAAAAACCACAAATCTGAATGAGGGTAATAAAAAGAGTTATAAGAACTGCCAGCACTGTAAAGGTAAGACCAGGCTAGTAGCTGTCAAAGGATAATATATTCTCTCTGCCCTCCTGGTAACAGTCCCACATAGTGCCTGTTTTACTAAACATTACTCAAAGGACCACTTTTCACACTACAAGAACCTTACCCTCAAAAATACCCAATTCAATAAATAAAATTTTAAAAACCTCCATCAAAAATCAAACACAAATTCTGTCAAGAAAAGGAGGTAACAATAGTATGTACTACTATTCATTTATTTCCATGTGCTTCTATATTATGGAAGACTTGTAGAATTAGGAGAATTACTGGCAAGGATTCTTGTGATGTGTTTTGATCAGGGTGGCAATCTATGTAAGGGCACTCAGAGTTTTTAATTCAATTTCTATTTAAAAATCCACAACCTGTTACATTGCATTACTGTAAGGTTCCAGGTGAAGGAAGAATATCTGGCAAAAGTTTTTCCAGATGTTTGAAGTAGCTTGAAAGACAGAGATGAAAGCAAAATCAATAGAAATCTCTCAAGTTTTTAAAGTGACAACTCTTTCTAACTGTCTCAGCATATTATTCATTTAATACATAAGAATGTATTAAATTCAATAGGGAACTCAAGATGCCCATATGAATTTGATTGAGTTTATCCCATTCACATTTGGATACTTTCTTTGTAGTGGTGGTGCACAGGCCCACACAGTATATGAAATATAAATATAAATGACTAACATTTACCCTTTTGAAAAAAAGGGACAGGAAAGAGAACAGAAGCACCCAAAACCTGACTTTTAAAAGGTCACATAAGACAAGATGTGGAAACAGAATTCCAGGCCTAAAATTATTTTATCCATTGGGTAAATGCCCCTAATTATTCTAGTGTTTAATTATATACCCACAATAATTTATACATAGAGTTATGAAGAAATATTAACCTGAAGCATGCATTTTGCACCTTCAGATCCTTTGTACTAGGAGCCACAGCACAAGAGACCAAAACAAAGTTTGAGAAGCAACAAATCAGATGAGGTGCAAAAGTGATATAACTGCACAAAAAGGGATGTTAAGAAATTAAAGTTTCATGGGAAGAACTCACCTCCCAGTACAGCTTCTCCTATATAGACAGAAAACTTTATGTGGAAGATCAAAGAGCACTGCAAGTGATGAGGTATTCATAAGAATGTCAGGAAAAAGGGATGGTTGTGCAGTTCATGAGAAAGCAGCAGAAAGTGCATGGCAGAACAGATAAAAAAGCCTGGATTTGCACCAGTATTGTCAGACACAGAAATCACTAGGTATGCTAAGTCTTAATGAAGAAAGAAAACTTGTGTCTCAAGGTGGTGATGATGATGAGGAATGGCAATTAGGAAAAACATAGAGTTGCTGCTCTTTCAGCTGCATGCCATCCCAAATAAAATAATTTCCCAGAGACTGTGTCAGACAAACAGTCTCCCATGTAGATTCAGATACAAGAAGTCAGAGTTAGTGGTAGAAGGTTGTATTTGTAGATCATCATCCATATGGAAACTAACTGAAACCTTGGCCATGAGTACATTGGTGGAATGAAAATCAAGAGAAGTGCTCATCTAGACGATGCTGAGAATCTGATATCCACACCAAACACATTTCAGTGCTTTGTTTTTATCTAGAACTAGTTCTTGTTTGGCACCATTGACCAAGACACCGTTTGACACTGGAGAGTATTAGGTTCCAATTTTGGTTTAGTTTCAGCCAGAAGGAATGCAGCTCCAGTATTCTAACGTGTTCCTTGATGTGAATGAAAGCATGGTGAGGGAAATGCACAAACTGCTTCAAAAGTGCACATAATTCAAACTCTACTGATGTAGACACACCTTGAGTTAGTTGACGCAATCTTTCACAAACATGAAGAACAGTAAAGGTAAGGACAAAATCCTAGACCCTTACAGAATAAATGAGAAGAAAGATTAGGATAATACATTAAAGAACCATAAGGAAATGACTGGATATGTGGAAGTAAGATAAACATGTAAGTCTATTGGGATAAGAAAAAAGAATGAAACCATAGGGCAGTATGGAGAAGGACCACAGTGAAGATTCCTGAAATTCAATTAGGATGAAACACTGGATGCCTGCATGATGGAACTGTAGGCATGGAACCACAGAGATGGATGCTTTGAAACAGTCAAGAAAAAGTTTGACAGTTCCACAAAATTCTTGCTCCTTGTGAATGAATATGTTCGAGGAAAGCAATGGGAAAAGGAAATGAAATCTTTACTTTCCAATCATTTCTTCTCCTAAATGCTCCTAAACTGTATTTTATAATGAAGCAGATATGCAGAAAGCAAAAACTGGGAATGGTAACGTATGGCACTCACCACTTTTGCTTCTAGAGCGACCTGAGCAAAGCCTTTTCGATTTCCCCACATGAGCTGATAACTTTCATCGCTGAACAGAGCTTCTCGAACTCCACCCGGTGAGATGGACACCAAGTATCCATTCTTCAGGGCAACCAGGCACTCCTCCCTCGTACCTGGTATGACACCAGTCACTCCCAACAATAATCTAAGTCCTGAAATAAATAAGGAGCAAATCTACATTTAATATAACGATATATATCCCAAATGCTCTTTGCATGGAGGAGCCAGATTACAGCTAAATTAAAATCTAGTAGCTATATATTTAGGCTAAGACAAATTTTTATGAAGGAAGTAAGACACCTACAGAGTAAATGCTGGCAAAATGACAGATATGTGACAATATTTTTGCCCAAATATTATGAAGATGAACCATACTGTCAGGAGCACTTCAATTAAAAAAATGCTTCCACATGCTATCTTTCATAATGATCAACCAAATTATGTAAACAAAACTTATGGGTCATAGCTAGAAATCAGAAAATAAACATCTATTCCTCTCTCCTTTTCACACATTTTAATACAGCAAAAAGAATCAGTACAATAAAGATTGGTACAAAAATAAATACCTGACAAGCAGCTTTTTTTGGTCTTCTTTTAGAATGTGACATTTAACATTTTAAACATTGAGGTTTTGAGTTGTTTAATTGAGTATTTTGTGGTTAAATTGCAAACTATGTGGATCAAATTAAACTGCTCTAAGACTGTCAAGATGCATGAATGACAGAAACTAGCAGGGCAATTTCAGCACCACATGAATGAATTCACCACAGTGAATCTCCTTCCTCTGTTTCCATAGCTGGGATTTCTCTAAAGGACAGATTGAGAACCATAGAAGTACTCGATGATTTCTAATATTATCTTCATATTTTAAATATATCACTTTGGAACTCTGATAGAAAGCAAACAAGCATTTCCACAATCTTCAAATTCCCTGTTCAAAGAGCATAGCTTGAAAATAATTTTTTTATATTAATAAATGGAAGCAACAGCTCTGGACTGACAGAGGTCTGCAACAAAAACTTTGGAAGACAACAGATAACAGTGCTGAATCCTGTAATTTAATTGTATTTAATCTTATTCAAGGTATCATGCTTAATAGATCTTTCTGTCAAAGACAGATGATGACTTTGTTTAATCATCTTTTGTGAACTCTTATCTGTTTCATCCTAAAGTCAGGAATGCCATACTGTTATTAAGCAAGGAGGTTCTTCATTTACTTGGCTTTAAAACTTTTGAGAATTATAATGTATCACATGAAAATATTATCACTTCTTATTCTCCTTTTCTAGGTCTCACAGAATTTCTTATCCCTCAGCCATGCAATGCTTCTGTCTGATGTCCTAGCTCTTCCAAGGAAGCTATGCCACACCTCTGAATCATCCTTATATTTTCTTTGTAACTTTATTACTCAGAAGCTATTCTGAGATGGAGAGACTTATTAATTCACAAGAAGAAATCTCCTGTAACTGTAATCAATCCTGTAAATAAACTGAATGAGGTCCAGCATAGGCTCATGAGCATTTTTTTAAAGAACCAATCTGTGAAGTGTAACATTTCTTTGCAAAAAGTAAGCAGAGTAGAGCAAAAGAAGGTTAGGGAGGAATTTCACTTATAGCCACATCTTCTGGTAATGCAGTGGGGAGGTCTAACTTCAATTATTTGTAGTCTTTCTTACCATGTAGCCTTTTTGAAGGCTGACACAGCATTTGCCACCTTTTGTTGCTCTATCATGAACATAATGAAATCAATATGTTATGTACACACCAGTATTCCAGGAACTGCACAGCTGAGAGTGTTGCTTAGTCACAACAAATGTGTATTTTATATTTGTAATAAAAATCTGTGCTAAAGACACTTCAATTTGAACAGTGCCCTCTTATTTATCCCTTAAGAAAGGAGTCTCCATTGCAATGTTTGCTAAACTTTCTCTTTTTTTGAGGGTACTCTTCAAAGCCAGTCATCTTTTGATGACTTCATACTTCCAATGTGCTCAGTACTATACAGTATTTACTAAGTAGGACTTAAGAAAATTATTGTTATCTATCCAGGAGTGCCTGAATATGGTTTTAGCATCAAATTTACTTGAGTTTATAATATTTATGTAAGGAAAATAAGGATATCCTTCTAAATAGCTTCCTCTATTCTCTATTTTAAAACAGCTTTCAATATTAGTGGCATAAAGGTGCCTTTAAATAATTCCTCTGCTATTCCTTCTGGACTCTCTTCTTTATGCCTTGTTTTTCTAAACTTGAATTCTCTCTGCTTCTCTGTCTCTTCTCCTGACAGGTCAGCACTAGGTCAATAGTAGAGTCCTATCCAGGCACTTTCTACTGACAGATGACATTCCATCCCAAAAGAATTATAATGTCTGTTTGTTGGCATTGGAGTGTTACCAATGTTTTCACTGAAAAGACAAGATAATGCTACTCTGTTTGTCCTGTTACATCTACCAACTTTTAGTCTAAAAAGCTAAAAGCATCCTTTTAGTTTAAAAACTCTCTTTCAAGTATAGTAAATGTAAATTTCACCAAAACCAGGAGAGGTTTTGAATCCAAGAAGCTTAAATACAAGATAACAGGTTCTTACCTGGTAAACGAAACACAAAATGATCAGCTACTGACAGGCAAAGTCTTTTCTTCCACAGAAAGAGTCTAGACAAAAAGTAAAGGTAGTCTATAGGAATAGCTCCATGGTAATACACAAGAATGCCTGGTCCTTCTGGGAGGTTTTTCACACCATGAAGCTCATAACCTGATTGGGATGGAAAGCAATACAATGATATCTGTAAATCATCTGGCAGTTTAGAAAAATTTTTACTTGGTTAAGTGAGCTTCAGAGACTTGTGAAACCCTCTGTAGTAGCTTTCAAAATACTTAAGTTCTGGATGGATCTTTTGGTCAATACCACAGAGAAAGTCCCTCAGACAGCACAGCATATCACTAGACTGATTTGTTGGTCAGTTTAATCATGAGATCAGACTTGAACCTGACATTTTTCCCAGTGAAGGAGCTAAAGTAATTATTTCCCATTAGGAACTTTTTGTAAATAGTACAATAATAATACTTAAAAAAAAAAATTAGTAACTAGTGTGAAAATGCTTCATTTTTAGAAATAGTGGGCAACAGTCTGGATACTTTCCTGAAATCTGGAAGTATGAATCTCCAATCTGTGTCAATGAGAATGAAGAGTTTGATATTTTCCATAATAAAGAGTTTCTCTTTTAGAGAAGGTGAGATGTTTAAATTGAAACCATAATCATTAAGATTCCCAAAGAGAGGTTCTCCCCACAAGAGTTAAATATATTCACTTCACAGTGGGAGGGAATTTCCTCATAGACATGCTCTTCTATGAATCCTTGTCGTGATTCTTCCTACATTTGGTTTAGGTTTCAGGTGAAGTCAGACTAGAAGGCTAATGTATACAAAGGCTTGGGAAAGACACAGCTTTTGCCAACTAAGAGCTCTGTTCCACCTTGTCTGCCTTCATTTCCATCCCTGCTACAGCTCCTGCCATGAGCCATTTGAACGGGATTGGAGTAGGCAGAGTCCTAGGAGCACGTGGAGACAGTTTTATACTGCAGGTTGTTCAAAGAAGCCATAAAAAGTATAATAAATGTAACGTATTTGCAAAAATTAAAACTTCTGTGTATTTACCACTTACTGTAATTCAATACTTCAGACAAGTCAGGTTGTACTTACCATGCCATATTCTTGCATATATATCCCAAAAGCTTGCTATAGTTTTTCTTACACTATTCCAAACATCACTCAAGGGATCTGCTTTTAACTCATTGTTCCTCTGATATATTAAAAGCAAAATATTAGTAAGATAAATGAAAAAGACGATTGCTAAAGGAACTATAAAAAAAACTAATATTGCACTAATTGTCAGTGAGGCAATGATCAGATGAAAAAGGTATTTCTTCAGGAACTCCACAACAGTCCATTCTTCCAGTGCATAGAAAAGGCAGTTGAGGCTGGTCATTGGTAACTGTCCTGGAGCACAGGATTCTTTTCTACCTATCATGTCCTGCATGGAGAAGAAAAAAGAAAAACAAAACAAAACAAACCAGCTGTATTTTCTCAATTTAGGAAAAAATTTTCTGTAAATACACCTGACCTGTATTTTGGTACAACACAGATTCAAATATTTTGTGTCTCTCTGTCATGCTAAGATAGCTGCTGATTAGGAGATTGTCCATGTATTTATGGAATAGGGGCTGAAACAAGAAGGACTGGAGTTCAACAAAGCCTTAGGAACCCTGCAGCATGGCTGATCAGATGATTTCTCTCAAAAGAGAGTAAATGGATAGTATTTTTAGCAGGGGAGTGAGCAGCTGAAGGGACAGCAGCAAAACCAAGGCAGTCATGGCTTCTTTGCAAGGCCTGGAAGTGTCTGGGACACCACTTGGTATTGTTGTTAACACTGGGACAAGCAGCCTCATCCATACAACACACCTTTCTTTCAGATCTTCCAGCCCTAGCAAAGGCCAGGAGAACTCCATGGTATGTTTTCCACATGCAACTCCCTAGTTTGTCCATTCCTACAGCTGACCCTGCCTCCCTGACAGTAGGTAGTGGTTACACGGGAATGCGAGAGCTCTCCAGCGTTGCTGGCTGCTTTAAAGAATCTTGAGCATTAGCCAGAGATTTAAACATTGCAATCCAGCTCAGCAATCCATAACTGAATACGGATTCTCTTTGCCTCAATCAGGTTGGTGCTTGTTTAATGAGTGGATTTTTCCGCTCCACCACCAGAACAAGTACCTACAAGAAACAAATCGTGAGTGCCAAAGTCAGTGCCAGGATGAGAAAATACAGCAAGCTCAGACCTCTGTGACTTTACGTCTTCAGCTGTGTACTTATATGAGCAAACCTGCTGTACACTTCTGTTTTACTTCTTTGAAGCTTTGGGTAGAATATAGGGGTGGACTGGTGTAAAGCACAGCTCCCTTCAGAATTACAGATGACATGGGGTACAGCAAAGAGCAAAAGTGGAAAGCAGCCATGGCCAAGCTCTAGAGCCTAACACGCATCAAGGCAAACAAGCCCCATGGCAAGCCCTGCAGCATGAGTAGCTGCAGTAGCTATAAATTTGGTCTCATACACCCCAATGAAATCTGTCCTTATCTCAAACCCTTTGAACTCCACACTGGCCATAAAAAAGGACCACTTGGTTTAAACCCAGCAGGCAGCTGAGCACCACACAGCCACTCATTCGCTCCCCACTGCAGTGAGATGGGTGACAGAATCAGAAGATTCAGAGTGCAAAAACTCCTGGTTTGAGATAAAGGCAGCTTCACAGGTAGAGCACAAGCTGGAAGGTTAGTAAACAAAAAGGAAGCAAGCATTGTGTTAAAAGATGTTCAACGTGGTAAAAAACAAAATCAGTATGACAAAAAGTAACAAGAATTAATATAGGATTATTTATATCCTGATGACTGGTGCCTCACTAAGATATAGGAAGATCTGGACATTTTCACCGAAAAGAGATTTTATCAATAACATGAAATAAAAAAGGAATAGTGTGCATGATTCAGATATTAAAATATCTGTTTAGACAGTGTTTAAGAAGGATAAAACTGATAGTATGGTGCCACACTATTGTAAGTTATTGTTTATAAAGTTCTGATAAGAGCAAGGACTACAAATCCTCAGTGTGTGCAAAGCTCTGTGCTGACAGAGCCCAGGAGAAGGCCATGTTAAGGGGCCTTGCCTTAGGCTACTAAATCAGAAATACTGAGCAGTACTTGGAATAATTTATTCAGCCTGCAACGTAGGGTGAAGGAAGTGAGTGGATTTTGTATTGTTGGGAGGTCTGGAACACAGACTACTACAGCCAGCAGCAAAAGTATCTTAGAATCACAGATAAAATGTCCATATCCATAGCAAGTGCATCAATAATGACCTCGATATGATACGGGGATTAATTTGGATATACAGATCACTGATGAACAAGAGATTGTATAATCTACCAACAAGATTTAAGATTATTCCAAAGCCCCCAAGCATGAGTAATTGCAGACTCAACAGCCCGATAAACTTCTGGCAAGAAAACTGAGAAGATGGTAACTTGATGCCACTCATTCTAATTCTGTGGGAAACAGACCTTGTAAACAAATTCACTTCCATTTTCTGAAGAAATTAAGTTTAACAGCTTGTACAGGTTTCATGCACATATATTTTTAACAGAAGCTTCTTAAAGAGTCACTTTAAGCCACTACTTGAAAGTCATCCTTCCACCAGTGATTCACTCTATGTTCTTACCCCAGCCTAATCTCTCACAGGATCTCCTGGCTCCCTACTAAAGAGATGCCAGTGAAAATGATGGTGCAAGTAAAATCACTCTTGGGAACAGCCCAAACTTAGGTCGGTATATGCACGTATATTACCAATGCCAGTTGACATTTTTATTAAAAAATAAATCTCTTTGAAATTGAGCATATATGCAATGAATGATGCCATCAATTAGCATGACAAAAAAGGATCCATCAGTTGTAGAATCTCTACCAAATAAGAACTGAATCTATTATCTACCTTATTCAGCATTTTCAGAATTTTCTTCTAATAGTAATAGGATGTTTACATTGATCAGTTTTAATAGTGTAACATTCCACTGATTCCTCTTCCTCCAGCTCAATTTTTATGTAGCAGAAAATTTCTTTCTGGCTGGAAAACCACTACCATTAACTTTGATAGCTGACAGACTACAGTATAAATGAACATGTTACTAATTTTTGATTTTAAGTTCAATATAGACACTGGAAAAATGCTTTAGAAAGAAAATAAAATGCACCGATGTGCAAAATCATATTTTTTAAAAACCTACAAAACATATTCAGCAGTACAGATTTGACCAAAGATATCTGAAAGAAGTTGTGTAGATACAGAGTGAATTCACCTTCTGCCAATTAGCTGGATGGGTGGGATGCAAGCTAATTCAACATCATTTCAGCTGAATCCAAGGGTAGAAAAAGAATAAATGATTGACTGATTGAGGAAAAGCTAGAAGCAGCATGGCTTCTTCTGGAAATTGGTTACTCAACCGTGGTTCAGTTACTGTTCTCACAGTTCAATTGCAGACTACCTCCAGTATTTATTAAGAAAAGAATGAATTGCAGTCACTGAAACCTGGACCCTGATATTTGGACTATATGATGCAAGTCCAACATGGCAAATGCATCCCTCTGCTGTCAGTATATCAAAGGGCTACAACAGGACAGGACTTCTATTTTTCCATGTTCCACTGGCTATGTGAAACCCATCCCCTGCTGAAACCCCAAATACAATTTTGAAGCATTCTTTCTATCAAACACCATATATTAAATTATTACAACTATGTGAGTGCCTAGTGCAAGCCTGTTACTAACAACCTCCTTGATTATGTTCTAGGAGACAATGCAGGAGTGCTACCACAAAGTAAACACATTTACTTATAATGGCTTTGGTTTGTCCCAAATGTCAAATTTAAGAGAGAAATTTCTCTTCTGCTTTTATCGAACCTGAGCCTGGAGCAGCTCCAACTACTTCAATACTGAATATCCTCTAAAAGGTTAGCAAGTGGGTATAGTGGTGTATTATTTAACAAAAAAACCCAAAACATTTTTTTAATTGTCTACATTTTTCTTATCTTATGTAATGATGGACTTGAAGCTACTGTTCTGAGTGATTTCTTTGTTCTTTCTTACAGAGAACAAAGTCATGTCATGTGTGTTGACATGTGAGGTATTTGTTTGGGCTCCACCTCTACAGCATATCAAATTCCAGAGTAATCACTGTATCTACAGTGTAAAATTACAGGTGATGTCAGAGAAAGACAGAACTACTGTCTCCCTACATAGAGAGGATCTTCCCTTTCAACAAACGTCTCCTGTAGCACAAGTTGTTCAGATCTAAGGTCTTGCTGCAGCATTATTTGCTGATAAAGATAATCTTACCAACATTATAATCCCAGGGAAGAACAAAGCTGCCACAAGAAACTTACTACATTAAAATTAAAACCTTGTAGCTGGCTTTCAGTCATGACTGAAAATGACAGTCAATCTTCGTCCTCCTGCTCACTACTTTGCTCTTGGCAATAAGTTTAGCAGAGCATAGTGAGAAGATGCTTTACACAGAAGCAAGTGCAAGGTAACTGCAGACTATTGGAGAGATAATTTTTTGACTCTTGCTTTCTTGTGACAGGCTCCTACTCTTTGCTCCGACTCAATTGTTCTGTTTCATGAGGGGAGTCATCTAACAGCTACAATTCTGCCTCTTGCTTTTCAATGTAAATTAAATTCCAGTTTTATATTTCGTGGATGTTTTGTGGCAGTTCCATGGCAAATAACTCTCTTGCTGGTCACCCTGCCAGAACCCAGTTTATTCATCTCCATAAATCCACCCATCTTGTACCCTCCTGTGTTTGTAGAGCTTCCCCCACCTTCAGCACATCCATCCCAAAAATGGTCTATCCCCTCCAGACAGAAACTGGCCATTACAGTGCTCATTCCCCCAGGTTTTTGCAGCCATTCTACCTTTTTCACACACTGAGGATAGTAAACCCAGAACACTGTTTCCCATTTACAGCCTGAGCATACATGAATAACTGAATTCCCACTTGGGTTTGATTGAGCATGTGGGTATTAGGCACTACCCTGAGCATCCTTGCTCAGCTTGGATGCCAGAAATGTGGCAGGTAAGAGCTAGAAGAATAATAAAATCATAGAATGGTTTGGGTTGGAAGGGCCCTTAAAGAGCATCTGGTTCCAACCCCACCTGCCATGGGCACTGACATCTTCTACTAGCCCAGGCTGCTCAAATCCCAATCCAGCCTGACCTTCAGCATTGCCAATGATGGGGCATCCACAACTGCTCTGAGCAGCCGGTCCAGTGTCTCATCATTCTTATGGTAAATTTCTTACTGATATTTAATCTAAACTGCCCTCTTTCAGTTCAAAGCCACTGCCTCTTGTCCTGCTGGTTACACACCCGTGTAAAGAGTACTCTCCCACCATCTTGTAGGTCCTTTTCACACACTAAAGGCTG